TGGTCTGGCAGCTGAATTCCTTAGTGTTTATTCAAATGACTTTTTAACTTGTGTCCACAAAAAAAGTGAACTCAAATATACACTTGAATCAATCTTTGGGGTTGTATATGATGATGGCACTTTCCTTCAAAGCAGTTATGATTGCAGAAATCTATTTTCTTCTTTCTCCACATATCCACCCATGTTAAACTTCCAACCTAAAGGAAACTTTTCTTTTAAGAATTACAGCCAGGCCGGCGCCGCGGCTCACTAGGCTAATCCTCCGCCTAGCGGCGCCTGCACACCGGGTTCTAGTCCCGGTCGGGGCGCCGGATTCTGTCCCGGTTGCCCCTCTTCCAGGCCAGCTCTCTGCTGTGGCCAGGGAGTGCAGTGGAGGATGGCCCAGGTGCTTGGGCCCTGCACCCGCATGGGAGACCAGGAAAAGCACCTGGCTCCTGGCTCCTGCCATCGGATCAGCGCGGTGTGCCGGCCGTGGCGGCCATTGGAGGGTGAACCAACGGCAAAAGGAAGACCTTTCTCTCTCTCTCGCTCTCTCACTGTCCACTCTGCCTGTCAAAAAAAAAAAAAAAAAAAGAATTACAGCCATTCTCTTAGCCATTCTCTTTTCATGCTTAATATGGCAACAGGGTGTTTCTTCTACCAATAAGCTAGCAATTGAAGTTCAGAATATAAACAAAAAAATAATATTTAGAGTGTGAAGTGCTAAGGAGTAGTATCTAGGTCGTGACTAGAGGACTCTAGGCTTCATTCAAACGACCTGTTGACAGAAGACAGATGGGCTCCAATATATACAGAGGAAAGAGTTAAAAACATTTAAGGACACAGTATAAGGGATCGAGTTTGATATCCTCTTTAAAGTGAACATCATCAAGACCTGAGAAGTGATTATAAAAGAGGGGGTGATCAAAAGAGAGGATAATAATCTGCACTTAATCTAAAAATATATAAAGAAGATAATGTATCATGACCAGCTGAATTTAGCCCAGCTCTTCAAAGATTCAACATTTGAAAATAAATCAATGTTATTCAGTAGGAAAATCACATCATCATTTCAATGATGCAGGAAAAGCTTATGATAATATTCACCATTTAATCATAATACAAGTCTCAGAAACTTGAAATAAATAGAAACTTTTGTGTTATGCTAATGGGAGTTTCCTACCAAAACCCACAGCTAACAAAATACTTAAGGATAATAGATCGAATTAGTCTCTCCTAATATCAGCTACAAGGCAAGGTTATCTATTTTGAGCAATGCTTATTAATGTTAAACTGGAAGTTGTAATCTGGACAGTATGATAGCAATCTAATTAGAATTTACAGAATAGAAAGAATAAAATAAAACTGTCTCTGTTGGAGACAACATAATTGCCTATATAGAAAATCTTAAAAAGTCCACAAAAAGGGCACTAAAATTATTCCGTGAATTTAGCGAGGCTTCAGGAAAAAATATAAGTCACATCTTTCAATGTAAGCAAGAGACCAGTTTAAATTGAAATAAAAAGCTATCATCTACAAGAGGACTTGAAACATCAATGCGGATAGCATATGTTCCGAATTTATATGCTGAAAATTCAAAACACAAAAAAGCAATGAAAAAAGACCTAAATAAATAGAGGGATATGCTGTGATCATGGATTAGAATATATAATATTGTTAGGATGGCAATTCTTCCCCAGCTGCTCTGTACATTAAGGCAGTTATAATTAAGAATGCAAATCTTCATTGAATCTGACCAGCTGATTCTGAAATGTATATTGAAATTTAAAGGAACTAAAATAAACAAGACAATTTTGATTAATATGAAAGAATATTGTTAAAGTTTTGTTAATCAAGAGAATGCAGCATTTGAGAAACAGTGGACATACAGATCAATGGAAAAAATAATGGTAAAATAGATTCACACACAAAATCAATTTATTGTTACAAAGATAGAAATATAATGCAATAATGACGTGATATACTCTAGATCTACATAAAAATCACTGGAAATGATAAATCTCTAATGAAAATATAATACCTAAAATTATAAAACATTCACATATGAAAATCGGAGAAAGCCTTTGTGACTTTGGTTAAAAAAGATCTCTTAGGCACAATGGCAAAAACAAACCAGTAAAGAAAAATTAAACATTGCATTTATCAAGTGAAGAACATTTCACTTTGATAGAGCCTTAAAGGAGAATAAAATGCAAGATGAACACTGGTAGAATATATCTGCAAACCAACTCTCATAAAAAATTTATATCAAAATTATGAAAACTCTCCAGTCAATAATGAAAAATGTGATTATATAATAATACTGTGGTGTTGGATGATTGGAAAAGACAATCAGAAAAACCAGGTATTTGTGGGAACCAGTGTTTTTGCTCAGTGATCAAGACACTTATGTCCAACATTGGTGTGCCTTGGCTTTGCTTTTTGCAAATTTTTTTTTCTTTTTTTTTTTTTTTTTGTTTCAGAATTTTAACTCCAACATATTAGGGAGAACATGTGGTATTTGTCTTTACATGTCTCACTTCTTCTACTCAATATGATGTCCTCCAGTTGCATTCATTTTGATGCAAATGATAGAATTTCACTGCTTCTAATAGGTAAATAATATTCCACATTTTTTCATCCATTCATTGGGTGATGTATACTCTGATACATTCCATATTTTGCCTATTGTGAATAGTGCTAGTATAAACAAGGTGGTTCAGATGTATCTCATACAATGTTTTCATGTGTTTTGGGTATATACCCAATAGCAGGCTTGTTGGATCATAGGGCAAGTTTATTTCTAGTTTTTAAAGAAAACTCCATATTATTTTCCACAGTGGCTGCGTTACTTTACATTACCACTAACAGTGTATCAGAGTTCTCCTTTCTCTGTAGCCTCACCAGCATTTGTTACTTTCTCTTTTGGATTTTAGCCATTCTGATGGGGTAAGTAGATATCTTATTGTTGTTTTGATTTGCATTTCCCAGACGGGTAGATATGTTGAGCATTTTTTCATATGTTTTTGACCATTTGTATTTCATGTTTTGGTAACTGTCTATTGAAGTCCTTTGGCTATTAAGTGGATAGGTTGTTTTGTTGTTGTCTAAGTTGCTGATATATTCTAGATAATCATCCTGTCAGGTAGCTCACAAATATTTTTTCCAATTCTGTTTAATATCCCTTCACTATTGATTGTTTCCTTTGCTATGCAAAAAATTATGAAAAGGATGGTTTATTAAATGAATATTTATTTATTTTTGAGGTAAAATTTTAAATTTACATTATAGTGAAAGGCTTAAGGGCTCTGCCAAATGAAGAGTTCAGCAAATAGAAAGTTAAAAGTCTATAGATCAGTAGGAAACTAGACAAGGGCTATATACAATAATCAAATGAAAAGATATTCAGTTTCTTTCATATAAAGTAAATGTTAAAATAGTCACAAAATTATTAAAACTATAGTAGTATATGGTTACTGTCAACCTGTTTGACAAAAATTTAAAATAATTTGAGCAAACACTTTATTTACAATAAAACTCTTACACACAGGCTCTTTCTTTCTTCTTTCTTACTGCCACCAATGTGGGTGACTTGATTTTTTACAATCTCCTAACTTTGATCTGATTTGGCTGTAGTGGTCAGTCAGGAGTGAATCAGGGGATATTCATCTTTAGACCTTTCAAATAAATAAAACTTTTAAAAAAGTGAACACAATTTCACTTTTTACTGTTTTTTTTTTTTAAATTGTTATACCTGCATTGCAACTATTTTATACCCTTTACTCAATTAACATAAAATTATTATTTCCCTAATATTTTTCATATATTTCCCCAAATTCATTTATGTGTGTATATTTATGTTTATAACCTTCCAAAGGGCTGGCAACGTGGCTCAATAGGCTAATCCTCTGCCTTGTGGCGCCGGCACCCCAGGTTCTAGTCCCAGTCTGGGCGCTGGATTCTGTCCCAGTTGCCCCTCTTCCAGGCCAGCTCTCTGCTATGGCCCGGGAGTGCAATGGAGGATGGCCCAAGTGCTTGGGCCCTGCACCCGCATGGTAGACCAGGAGAAGCACCTGGCTCCTGGCTTCAGATCAGCACAATGCGCCAGCTGCAGCACGCCTGCCGCAGTGCGCTGGCCACGGCGGCCATTGGAGGGAAGACCTTTCTCTCTGTCTCTCTCTCTCACTGTCACCTCTGCCTGTCAAAAAATAAAAATAAAAATAAAAAAAAATAAAAAAAACCTTTTAAAATTATTTAAATCCATATCCTTATAAATCAATTTACAAAATTTATTTTTGTTTCTACATATAAAATACATATAAAACATTAATTAAAATGGATTGTTTCTATTTTTATGATGGTGAGAATAAACATGATTATCTATAGGTTTTTCTTTGTATTTCCTTTAATTATTTAAGTAACCTACAATGACCATGTACTATTCTTTCAGTAGAATTTCTTTCAAACAACTATACCAAAAAAGAGAGAGAAGACAAAATCCATCGTTTAGCAACTATAGTAATGTAAGTATGAGAATTGTCCTAAAATGATTTTTATGATCACTCACTTTTATGACACTGCAATTACCTGAAAGACAATTGTGGTCTAGTAGGACATAAAATGATGAACTGCTCCTCAGTTACAAATGACAAGATAATGATGTCTTCTCAGCCTATCTTTTCGAAACTCAGCCCGTAATGGATTATTATAAAGATTTCAAAGTTGTCAGGCTTGCCGAAGTTGTAACTCTTTGATTGTTTAAGTAATTTGGCAAATAGCATCTTTCTTCATTCCCTGAGGTCTTTTAGGGGTCATATCTCTAATCTTCATAAATACTGATGAACCAGAACAGATTATGCTCCAAATAGCCTGCATGAGATGGTACATGGATCATATCTTCCTTTCTCGTTATAGTTAAGTCATTCAGGATTATGTTTTAAATATATATGAAACTTACACATTACATCCAAATAAGTGAAAACACAAATGTAGTAAAAAGTATTTCTTTTTATTTTCTGGTATGCTTCATTAAAAAAGGTACAGTTTTATTAGTAGTACATTAATGAACTGAAACAACAAAGTGACAAGTTTTTGTCATAGATAGTAATTTACATTTTACAAAGATCCACGAAAACAATTAAAAATGAAATAAATATATTTACAATTCATATTTCTGGCATTTTTCATTGCAGTTTAATATGTATAAAATATATAACATTTATAATGTTTTATTTATCTTCAAAACTAAATTTAAATGTGCAAATAAGTGACATTATGATTTTAAAGTTTTAATAAGAATAAATCATAAACAACAATTTTAGAGGTATGACTAAAGCAATTCCTTAAGGAGAGCTCATGAGTACAGCAGTATTAATAGTAGCAAAGTATTTGTTATTAAGAAGGGAACATTTACACTTACCTTAAAATGTTAAGCACAAGACCATCCTTGTGCTTTTAAAGCTTCTCCACACTGCTCATTTCTAGCAGTAATTATAAATTATCATTAAGGTTATTACTTTTCCTCAGTCACAAATCAAGATTAAATCAGCATTCAGTGTAGACAAAGTTTATGAATAATCTTTGTCATTGTAAATGAGGGAGATGTCAATCTACAAAGAAATGCACCCAAAGGAAAATGTCTCTGCTTGCAAAGCTTATATGGACTCCACATTTATTTTCAAATAATTGCTTTTCTTCTTGCCAAGTGACAGTTTTATGAGCAAATGTTTTAAAACTATAAATTGGCACATGCCTGAAATATGGTCATGAAATGATTAGTTGATTATTCTTCCTTTAAAAATATCTTGTATGGCAAGGTTTGGAGTACACATTGCATTTCATTTTCATTAAAATGTTTTTGAAATAAATACTTGTTGCAATATAACAAATTAAGAATATTCTGCTTTAATATCCTTCAGTTTAAGTATATTGTTATTTTTATCAGGCAAAATACATTGCAGTAGTTAGCAGTTTTCAGATGATTTTGAACTCCATTTTCTGACTTAAATGCTATACCTATAGTGTTCCCCTTCAAGCTTGTACTATATGCTGTAATGAACCCTTCAAAGACCACACACACACACACACACACACATGCACCAAGGCACTGGAGGGGTTAACACAGATTTAAACATTTTCTGTTAAAATGTACTATAATTTGGTAACTAAATCTCATGCATCTCAACCAAAAATACATGAGAAAAAGAAGTTTATGAGCATTTGTGTCGACAATGGTTAATCAGTAAACTGTAAAAAGATTGCTAATTGTTAATATGAAGAAAATCTGAATCATATTTTCCTAATTCATGGTTGTCCCAATAACCATGTTAAATAACAATTGAGGCCTGTCAGATTTTATTAGCAGTATCAAAAATAATCACAATAATGAACTTGTCATATGTTTTAATACATGTTTACAATATAATTTGAAGAACATTAAATGTGTATACATGAAGTGCATTCTTGTGATGTACTTTATGGCACACACATTGTTATATTTAGATAAACACATATATATGCATATGTGTGTGCATGTGTTTTACAAGGAGATCATTCCTATCTCACTGTGTTCCTTTTTCTTTATCATACGTGTATGCACAGGCCAGAATTACAAAAAGGATATTTAACTGAATTTTTGTATTTAAAAATGGAGATTTTTGAAAATTTTTGAAAAATCAGAATTATTTTATGATTTTATTGGATTTATGTAAAATTTTAAACTCATCATCTTACTTTTGTAAACCAACCCATTTCTTGTTTCCTATACGATGGATTTTCATATGACAGATGTTAGTTACACGTGTGGCACACTGAGATACAGCTCCGGTTGGAGACAGGTTGTGTAATGAGCCACTTTCAACTCTTCAAAAACTCAGTCTATTTGCCCATCCACTGTCTTTATGGGTTCAGAAGTGGCCTACCGAAACCTGCTTGTGGTGGGCTGTAAATGTTATAAAATTTGTTGGGTTTGGCCAAGCTATGGACAATAATTTCTAAACATAATCCTAACTTTAGATTTGTATTTCGTTTTCCGGAGAAAATACATTATATTGAAAATATGTACTGCCCAGTTATCCACAGTTCTTTTGCTAAGGTGTGTGAGATCCAAGTTAACACTTTTCTGGGTCCAATTTAGAACCTTCATTTTTTTTTCAGTTTAATGCATTTAGAAATTAATCCAGGCAGAATGAATTAATGATTTCTAATGATTATGGAAACAGCTTGATTTTAGTTATTTTAAAATTAATGGACACATATCCTGAATACTCTTATTTTGTTTCCATCTGGAGTGATGATATGCCCCTCTTTAAAAACATCAAAATAGTTGGTGATCTTCATAAGGAAGCATTTAATGTGGGGTTTAGTTTAAAACATGAATGTCAATAAAAGATAATTTTTAATCTGAAGCTGGTTGCTTAGAAGCAAATTTAAATAAAGCTGTAGTGAGAAACAGATAATGTTTTCCACTGTTAGACAATTATACAATGCTGCAAGCTGTGTCTTCTGTGCATACCTTCAAAAGCTTGCAAATTTCCAGACCCTTCAGATTGGTATTCTTAGACAAGATACCTAAGATAACTCTCATAGTTCAGCAGTACTTAATTATTTTGATGACATCATAAAAACACATTTTTAACTTTTATTTTCAAATCTCCCCTTATTTTGTCATAAAACATTTCTAAAATGGAAAAATGGTCAATGATGATAAATAATAACTTTGAGACTGCTTTCCAAGACATTTCAGTTGATGATTAACTTTAGAGTTAGAATCACAAATAACCGTTTCTCACACCTTGGTTTTGACATTATGTTTCTATAAAAGCTTTTGGAGTCACTGAGGATTTTTGAAACTTTAATTCGATAATAAATCCCATTAGGTAAAATATAAATCCTTTTAAAATGAAGAAAAGAGAAGGCTCACAAATATTTCTATTACTCATAATTAAATTAATGTGTTTTTGGCATATTGGTTACATTGACAATTAATAAAACATCTTAGTAACAACAATCCAAGGGAATACTAGTCCATTTCACCTTGTGTCTATCATAAGTCAACATAGTTATCTTTTAACGGTTCTTAGGCATATTTTACAATAAGATAAAAATAAGATTGGAGTGTCAGTGTAAAGTCATGGAATGGCAATAGGAGAAATTTACATCAGCAAATTAAAGTGCTTTTTTCTTTGTTGAGATTTTTGCATGCTCCCTGCTGCCTAATGGAATGGGTTTGTTTGTTTTTTTATTTGTGTTGTTTTGTTTTGCCTCTTTTATGTATCTCAATACAATGATAGGGCAATAGTTCATGATTTGGCCCAATATGTATTTGTCATACAAAATATTCTAAAATACAGAAATAACCATTTAATTGGTATTATTTATAGTTAGCTTACAATTTTTATATTATTTACATCCTTCTTCATTTCATTCATTTTTTGTCTCCACTTTTGGTGAAAGCAGTATAGTATACTGGTACAAATCAGTTGAGAAAAGCTCTCCCGTTCTTTCAGGATGATTCACAGATGGCTTCCAGAAGAGAAATGTTTTTTAGGATAACACATGACCTTCATTTTCTGCTGAAATTTCAGTTTGACTGCTCTGTTGATTTCATAGTATCATGGTTTCTCCAGGGTCTAGTCCCATGAATATGTTGATTTTGTTTATGTAGTCATAGGAAGTGTCAATGCGGAGCTCAATATGTCAAGTTGTATACTTTGTTTTGCTTGTAGAAGCAGAGCTGGCAGCAGCAGCAACAGTAGCTTGACTGCCTAAAAATAGAGGGTCCAAACAAGCTACTTTGGCAGCAAAGAATGAATGAATGCAGTGAAGAACAGCAAATAGATTTGAAAATTCCAACTCCTGAAAGGGAATGAGAAATTCATGAGATAAAATAAAACCAATTTGTTAAAAAAAAGCTATATGTGTTTTATCAGGTGCAATAAATTTATCTAGAATAAATGATATTCAATGCATAAAATATTTCTAATATGAACATTTTTGGTCAATATGTAAAAGTTGTATATAGTATAGACTTATTTTGAAGCATGGAAGATAAGAGGTAGGTGGAAATGGCATTATTATTATCCAAACAAGAAAATATATTTTGCAGATTAGAATAGCTTAAAATATTTGCTGTTCTCTAACATCAGTTAATATTTCCCTTAGAAAACTGAATATGAAATACTGAAAGCAAAGAAATATTGATTTATATTACACTAGGAGCCAAATGATTCACTTACAAAAATAATTTATGCATTAATTTTAAATATTCTAAGTGGTTGTTTAATGGTGTATATGGCATATTTTTATAAGAAATAAAATCTAGAGAGTCCATTAATTCTTTTAGGATTTTTAAAAGTATGTATCCCATTTGGATAATAAGAAAATTTGTAGCCCATCTATCAGTGGCAACCAAATGATATACATTGCAATGAAAATAGAATAAAAATGACATTAGATCAAACTATAAAGAGGCGGATCTCATGACATATTTTAAAAGATGATGTTAAAAGTATTTTTACCAAATATTTCCAATCAGTAGTCTCATAAATATCTTTTAATTCCAAGATGGGGAAAATAATAATACATCTGCTTGCTTAATGAAGCTGATACAAAGAAAGCATCTCAAAGAGAATAGAGGGTAATAGATAAACAGAATATAATCAACTATATTTAGTTGTTGATATAGTTATTGATATTGCGTTATATATTTATAACAAAGGAATTATAATTTATATGTACATTATTAACAGTGTTTGCAATTTATAAAACATGACAGTGGAAAAGAATATGAAGACTCAAAGCAATTAGGAAACATTTTAATATGTATACCTCATAATGGCAGAGAAATATTTAAATGAGATAATTCACTTCAGGGATATTTTCTCAAATCATGCAAAGGAGCTTATTACAGGATAACATATATTCATAGGCCTGTATAATGTAGAAGTAGTTATGCTATTTCAATATCTCATTCTTTCCCATAACATATAGTGACTTATTCTACAATTAACTCTTCTAATTTCCTGAAATGTATCCATAAATATTTTTAATTATTTATCATAATTACCTTTATTTTAATGATTCGTTTCAGTAATACTAGAAATATGTTGCCCATAAGCTAGGATCTTCCTCCTTTCCTTAATTCATCCTGAAAATCCCACAATCTTTTTTTAGGCAATTTATTTCCTCTGCCTATTTGGAATACTTTATGTGTCAATTTATATTTCGTCTACTCAGTATGAAAATGACTGGAGAGTTTGGAAAACTGAGATTTTTCTGTGTTTATTAAAAAAAATGAAATATCTGGGACTTTCATTGTGGCATAGTGAGTGAAGCCACCATCTGTGATGTCAGCATTCCTTATGGGCATCTGTTTGAATTCCTGCTGCTCCACTTTCAATCCAGTTCCCTGCTAATGCACCTGGGAAAGCAGTGGAGGATTGGGTCCAGGTGCTTGGGCCCCTACACCCATGTGGGACATCTGGAAGATGCTTAGGTCCTGGCTTTCACCTGGCTCAGTTGTGGCTATTGCAGTCATTTGGGGAGTGATTTGGGATGGAAGATCTCTCTCTCTCTCTATCTCTGCCTTTCAAATAAATGAAATATATCTTTTAAAAATAAAATATCAACAGCAAAAAATACAACTTATTCTTTGGGAGAAGGATAATATTGTTGAAAGTTAAAACTGGGCAAAAATACTACAACAACTAACTTTTTTAAAAATAATTCAGTCACACATTTTTATTAAATTGGATATTATATTTTGGTTATCAACAATTCTAGATATCTAGAAATATTGTATATAATATTCATCCTTAATATTTCCATGATCACTTCTATGCAAACTCATGCCATGTTTTTGCTACTATTTAATATAAATCCTAGACCTATGTTTGGGGAAACATTGAAGGTTTTAGAGCAGAGATGTGAAAAGAAGTGATATTTTAATGATCATTCTGGTTAGCCTAGTAAGAGTGGGCTCTGTGGGAAGAAGAGAAGTTATGATGTTTTGCAAACAGGAAAGGTGTCCGATTTAGAAGTACACATTACTACCTGGAAGGAGTTACTGTATCCTTAAATGGAAAAGCTGTGAGATCTGATTTGGGGTGAAAGATTGAAATTTCTGTTTTGGACATTCTACAATAGATACCAAGTGAGACATAGATATGCAGGAATAAGTAGAGAACTGTGTATGTGTTAGTGAAGATCTAGGGGAAAATTACAGTTGGAAATAAAATAAAATTGAGTCTGTCAGCATATAAAATAGTAAATGAGTGGTTTGACTGTGAAGATCGAATTGTGTGGGATTTGTAGAGAAAAGAATGGGGTACTCATTTCTGGGATCCTACAGTATAGAAACGTAAGAACACTGAAAGAATCAACAAAGAAGAGAGAACAGTAGTTGGCAAGGAAGTGAGAGAAAAAAAAGCTGGAGAGTCTTGAAAAGTGGCAACTGGAAATTGACCATTGAACTTTGCAGCATGGATTTTTTTTTTTTTTTTTTTTGTAGAGAAGAGGAAGCAAAAAGTTTCTAAAAATGGGCTCTCAGGAGATGGAGAATAGAAATTAAAATTACTATAGATAATCTCTATAGTAATAAAAGTATTTTTCTCTTCAACAAAGCAGAGAAATGGAATCATTACCAGATTCAAATATATTTTTCTGAGGTGTAGAATATTAGTATATTTTCATGCCTGCTTCCCACAAAAATACAGTCATGCAACATTCAATAGTTTGTTAAAACAATAATTAATTAAGTCTTCTAGAATGTGAAAGCAGAAGACAAAATCATTGGCAGTCCTGAGAGTACATCACATTGCGTCAACTCTTGCCTAATATCACTATAGTGTTTTCATTTTGGCTGTTGATTTCAGGATTTCCTTTTCCTGTGATGAATTTCTCTTTTATTGTGAACTGAAACTGATCACTTGGACTAGTGAGATGGCATTGGTACATGCAATCTTGATGGGATGCTATTGGAATCCCCTGGCACATTTCTAACTCCACCATTTGGGGAGAGTCCAATTGAGCATGTCCCAAACTGCACATCTCCTCCCACTCCCAATCCCACTCTTTTTTCTTCTGTTGTGCTTTTGGTATTGTATCTAAGAATGATTCTCAAACTCAAGGTCATAAAGATTTACTCCTGTGTTTATGTTTTAGCTCTCAGATATATATCTATAATTCATTTTTAATTCATTTTGAATGATATAAGGAAGGAGACCAATACAATCTTTGGATTACATAGCCAGTTTTCCCACACCATTTATTGAAAAACTGTTCATTTCATAGTCTTTTATGCAAAGCAGTATGTCAAAACTTGTTAATTATAAATTGGATTTATCCATAGCCTCTCAATTCTATTGTAATTTAACATATGCCCATTTGTATGCCATTATTGTGCACTCTTGATTACCATTTCTTTATAGAATGTTTTGAAATACAGATATGTGAGTCCCTGTGAGTCCACCAGTTTTATCACTCTACACACCATTTTCCTGGCTATTGTGGATCCCTTATACTTACACACAAATGTGAGGATAAGCTTTTCCATTATTGAATAAGGAAGTTAACACTTTGACACAGATTTTATTAAATCTGTATATTAAGTTCTAGAGCATTTTTCATGTTAAAGTATTGTTTTATAATCCATGTGTTGAAGATATAATTTCATTTATTTAAATTTGTTCAGTTTATTCCATGTTTTCTAGTCTTCAGTATTTTACAATACCACTTTTTTGGTTACATTTATTCCTAATGGAAAATTGTATCTTTGATGCTCTGATAAGTGCAATTATTTTCTTTTTTTTTTTTTAAGATTTATTTATTTACTTGAAAGTCAGATTTACACAGAGATAGAAGGAGAGGCAGAGAGAGGGAGAGAGGTCCTCCATCTGTTGTTTCACCCTCTAATTGGCTGCAATGGCCAGAGCTGCGCCAATCTGAAGCTAGGAGCCAGGAGTTTTCTCCCAGTCCCCCACAAGGGTAAAAGGGATTAAGGACTTGTGCCATTCTCCACTACTTTCCCAGGCCATAGCAGAGAGCCAGATCGGAAGTGGAGCAGCCGGGACTAGAACCGGTGTCCATATGGGATGCTGCCACTGAAGGCAGCGGCCTTACCAGTTATGTCACATTGCCGGCCCCTGGAGTTATTTTCTTAATTTCACTTTTAATTTTTATTTCTAATGTATAGAAACACAATTGATTTTTGTATATTAACATTGTATGATGAAATATTGATGAACCAATTTCCCATTACCAAGAGTTTTTTTTTTTTTTAATGAATTTTCTATATTTAAACTCATATCATCTATCCCTGGCTAGAATTTCTGGTACTGTGTTGATGGGAACAGGGAAATCAGGTATTTTTGTCTAGTTCATTATTGCAAGGGTAAAACATCTCATCTTCTCATATATTTAGCATATTTATTTTGAAAAGTTGTTGGGTCGTGTATCTATTGCAATGTTCAAGTGCTTCTGTCTTTCAATCAATTAATATCGTTTATTATATTGAATAGTTTTAAGATGTATGTGTGTATTATGTGTTCTTGAATTATATCATAAGTGATAAAGTATACAATAATTTGTATGTTACTGTATTTGGTTTGCTGGTTTTTTTATTTCTTTTGCTGGTTGGTATTTTATTAAGAATTATTTCATTACATTCATAAATCATATCAGTTTATAGTTTTCTTTTTTTTTTTTTTTGACAGGCAGAGTGGACAGTGAGAGAGAGAGACAGAGAGAAAGGTCTTCCTTTGCTGTTGGTTCACCCTCCAATGGCCGCCGCGGCCGGCGCGTTGCGGCTGGCGCACCGCGCTGATCCGATGGCAGGAGCCAGGAGCCAGGTGCTTTTC